AAGAACAGCTACAGAGGCCTTCATATAATTATCAAAAAGATCCAGATCCAAAAATGTACTTATGTTAAACAACCATTGAGGAATTGAAGAGTCGAAATTGTTAAAAGAGAGATCAATGACAGAAAGGGAAGTGACATTGATGCTTGGTACAGAGTGAGGTAAGTTGTGAAGTTCACATTGCTGAAAAAATGTAATGAATGTGATTTGTAATACAATGAATATAATGTGATTTGTAATACAATGAATGTGATTTTTGTGGAATCTGTAATTTTTTTTCTCTGTGTTATTCTGGAATCACACTCTCTGTTAAACATTTTCCATTAGATTAAAACAGGAAGGGAATTTGTGAATGTTGAAAAAATCAATTTGTGAATGTTTAACATTAGAACAAGAAGGGAATTTGTGAATGTTGAAAAAATCATTTTGTGAATGTTTAACATTAGAACAAGAAGGGAATTTGTGAATGTTGAAAAAATCAAGGAAAAATCAAGAAGCTAGAATTATCTCGTCGTTCTTCTCGTTCTGGTTTCCTTCTCTCTCTCTCTCTCTCTCTCCTCTCCTCTCCTCTCTTTTCTGTTCTAGTTTCCCTCCCTCTCTTATTTCCTCTCTTTTCTATTTTATTTTTCATTTCACTTGTGTGATCTCCAAACCAGCACACGTGGGTTCCACGTGTATCATAAATTAGAGGAAGAACACTTTTTGAGCCATTCAGGCCACCGTCCATTCGGGCTCTGTAGCAGCGTTGTTAGATTTATTTCAACTTATATTTTTGTCATGAAGGTTTGGGTTGAATTGAGATTATTTTAATAAAATAAAATAAAATAGACTTTTTAATTTAATAAGATAAAATATTGTATTTAAATTATAATAATTTTACTTTTTTTTTTATAAAAATCAAAAAAATAAAAAGTCTATACCAAACGAGATTTTATAGTCTAAAGTTAAAATAATCAAAAAGTCAAAAACTAACCTACATCCCAAATGAAAGCTAAATTGATTTTCAAATCGGGATGTTTTTCAACTTCATGTTTAATGGAGTGGTTATTTGGTGCGAAGTATGATTATGTAATATTTTAAGAGCATCTCTAATGGTTCACTTTTTTTTTCCATCAAATCTGAGTAAAAAAATAACCATTTTCTCAATCTGATATGAGCTGCTCCAATGGTTGTCATCAAAGGCAAGAGACAACCGGTGGGTTGACCGGCCGGTCGACCGGTAAGGCAAATTTTTTTTTTTTTTTACCTATTTGAACATTTTTGACCGGTTTGAACCTACCTATTTAAAAAAGAACCGGTCGACCGGTTTGTCTACCGGCCAGTTGACCGGTTGGTCTCCTCCAACGATCACGCACAGTAATTTGGTAAAACCTGTATTCCGTTATCAGTTTGATGATTTTTTTGTTCAATTCTCATTTTGATACCAATTTGGTGAAACCGTTGGAGCTCAAAAAAGTGCATTTTTCACCAAATTTCAAATATGATACCAAGTTTGTTAAACCGTTGGAGATGGTCTAAGATGTTATGATTGATAAAAAAATAAAACTTATGAGAAGACATAGGTCTCGTTTGGCAAGTAGTAATTTTAGTTAAAAAGTTAAAAAGTCACAAAAAAATCCAAAAAACTAACGACTTATATCAAAAAGTCAAAGATTTATTTTTCTCTCTACTTTTTGCACACCTTTTTATAAAAAATTAAAAAATCATCCTAAATATATTAATTTTTTTATCTTATATTTTAACCAAAAAAACTAAAAACTTATTAAAATAATCTCTTCCCAAATAACCTCATAGTGTAAGATAATTAATAAAAGAAGATGAAGACGTTTCTTGAATATTGAATGGTTTTGTATTTAAAGAGGAAGTTTCATTTGATGGGAGTGGGTTAGTATGGTATGTGAGTGGCTATTGGGTGTGGTCACGTTGTGTTTTAAAATATTGTGATGTGTAAAAAAAAAAATTTATAATTTTATATAAAATAATTAAAAAATATATAAAAAAATATAATATATAAGGATTAATAAAAAAGTATGAATACATGTCGTTCCAAAAAAATAGACTAATTTCTCATGGTATGGTCAAGTTCATTTTAGTTATTTAGACTTGATGGACGGCCATGATTAATTCAACACTACTATATATTTTTTCCAAACTCTAGAATGTAAGGACTTTCCATGAATGCACTTTTTAATAATAAGCTTAAAGCACATTAAAAACTCTAGAAAAGGACTATGGAGATTAGGCTCACCATCACCAACAATGATGGGTGAGCCGGACATTTGACTATGGTCTCGTGACATTATTCTATTTCTCTCATAAATGGAGACCTCATCCAAGTTAATGCAGAATCATATACAAAAATAAATAAATAAATAAATAAATTACTTAAACTTTTGATTGAATGTTATAATAATTACATTTAACCTCATGAATCACATTGGCCTCTCTTAAAATTTTAATTGCATAACACATACAATTATATCATTAATCACACATTAAACAATTAGATGAAATTTGATCACGCCATCTAATTTTTTATTTTAAAATACCAAATATATCCTTTCATGATTTGTTATGATATTACTAATAAAAAATTGATTGAAAAAAAATATGTGTATGATCCATCTCTCCCATAAATTTTGAATCATTGCCTCCATCAATTTCTTCTTGTGTTAATAAATCCCAAAACCATGAACAAAGACTATATATATATATATATAGAAAGAGAGAGAGAGCATGTCTAGATCCTCTTGGTAAGTATTGAGTCTTTTTTCTAGCTCTAGTAAATATGATGATGGCGATTCGACAAACTCCCCTCACATGTCATCTATGGTTCTCTATGGCCCATTTGCGGAACCTCCTTCTCATGAATTTGCAATGAGGGAAATGTATTCATGGAGGGTTTGTGTATACTTATATATATATGTGTGTGCGGGTGCGCGTGTTGTTAGCCCACCACTAATGGGTATATATATATGAGACTTTTTTTTTGCTTTTTTGACTCTTGGTTGATCTGGTTTGTTGTAGGTGAAACATGGGGGTTTGGCGGTAGGGGTAATGGTGCTAGAAGAAATTGAGTATTGTGAGATTTATTAATGGTGGCAGTTTCAATAGTGAAAGATGGGTGCTTTGGTAGAGTGAAGAAAATTGGAGAAAATGGAGGAATATAAGATAATGGGCAGTGGCAATTGGTGTGGGTGGGGTGCGGCGGTGAGGTGGGAGTAGTAATCTTGTAGTTCTAGGTTTGATGGGTTCTGGTAGTGAGGAGGGGCGGTAGTGGTGGGCTTGGGGAAGGAGAATAGAGAGTGTGATTGTCATGAGGTGATGATTGCTCAAGCTTTGAATGAATTGCATGCTAGTAAGATAATATCAAGGGGCACATTTGTCTTTTTACATACTTTGTTAATGGAGTTAAGTTTTGAAGCCCATTAGGAGATCGGTGTCATTTCTCCATACTCTTCGAGCCAAGTGTAATTATGGTAACTTTCAAGGGAGTTACGTGTCTGTAATTTACCCAAAAGAAATAGAGTTAATTAACACATACTTTTCTTGAGATATTTGACAATTATAAGGACTTTTCTTGTAATTTTTGAAATTACACTGCGTTGCCTTGTTAGACTTATTGAATAACTGACATTTACCAAAGAAGTGATTTTACATTATATTAGTTACATTTTTTCCTATAGCCAAACAAATTTGATATAAACATTCCACCCTACTAATTTATCTTTCCAGCCAAACATGCCACTCCTTTCTCTTTCCCCCATCTCATCTATTTGCTCTTGATGGAGACCTTATTCTCAACATAAAGAAATTGTAGGAGCTTCAGGACAAGCTAGAGAAAGCATAGTTCTCTCTTTATAACTGTCTATCTCCACTTATTTGGTTTCCAAGAAAACATGAAAGAATGTGATGAAAATGTAGTAAAAGGAATTAAAATTCAAAGTTCTCTTCTCTCTCTCTCTCTCTCTTCCAACAAAAGAAATGAAATTTTGTTTAAACGAAGTGATTTGGTTGTCTTGGACTTAGTTGAGTGGAGGTTTATAAATTCCACATGAACAAGGCACCAATGCATCAATTTCTTACAGAATATTTTGAGAGGAGTGAAGGCTCTTGATGTGTTTAATGCTATTGGATATGGTTGGAAGCAACATGGAGGTGATGAGGTGGTGGTAGGGTGTGGCTGAGATGATTGAGTTTGTCATTTCTATGATTTATCTTTTATATTTTGTTTCCTTCGTGTTTGTTTTGAGAAATAGATCGATCAATTCCAATTATTTCTTCTTCTTTTTTTCTTGATTCTTTTCTGATCGAGATGTATGGATAGCTAGCCCTATGCAATTTTCTCAATCGGTTTCCTTTACCCTATTATTGAATTAGAAAGCAATACAAAAACTTGTGCATAGAGCGCGCTATTTTTATTTTTATTTTTTTTGCGTCAAATAACAAAGAATTCGTGATTGAAAGAAAGATTGGTTGGTAGGATGTTAAGCTATCACCACATGGCAAATAGTGAAAATTAGAAAAGTACTAGTGGATAGCAAAAGTGAAATGAGATTACTAGTGATGGATTGAGGTTGAGGATATAACATGTTCAATTCCTTGCCCTTGTGTCCGGATTATGTTTTTTGGAAGATGGGTAGGGTTAGGGTTTTGCGAAAAAGATGAAGACAAATGCATATTTGTCCTTCTACATTGAATTTTCACTAACTTTTGTTTTTTCTTCATATCAACCCTTAAATTACACATGTAGTATATATTCTGTCAATGTGGACAGAATTAGCAATGATAGAAAAGAAAATCTCAAAATTGCCAAAATCACATGAGAAATCTTTGGTTATTTTTAAAAGTGAGATGAGATTGTGAAGTGCTCCAGCAACATAAGGGGCTAAAATGAATTTCGCCTTTGATTTAATTTAAGGTTAAATATGATAAGCATGTGACAAATTTGTACTTGTGAAAATAAGCTGGCCATTTTTAGAGAAATACTCTACATACAAGGATTCATTAATGGACTTGGTTGGCTAAGATTGGATCATACAATCAAAAGACATTGCATTTAACACATTTTTGTTCTAGTTTGAAATCCAATTCATGGAGCTTTTTTAATTAATCATATAGACATTGATTAAGGCTTCTTGTAATAACCCAGAACAGTATAAATAGTTTGCACCACAGTGAGTAGCAATACCAGACTAAGGAAGTTCCTTATCTTATCCCATGGAGGGCGAGAATAATCATCAATCTTGAGTCTTACAAGGCGCAAATTCGGATTAGTATCCCCACTGGCCAACCTTTTTAGAATTCCTGGCAACCTCTCTCTTTGTTCGGGAGTTGTTCGCGAAATTATCCCACTGTCGACAAGGAGTTTGACATCTTCAGATGTACGAATCAACTCGCTCATAAACTGCAAGTAGGAGCACACATCACCCTTGTTGCTACCCAGCAGTTGAGAGATCTCATAATTTTTGAGATATTGAAACAAAACCTCAGTATCATCATCAACCAAGAAAGTAGGCAATGTAAGCACTGCACGAAACATGTTTGTCATGAATTTTATTCCTCCACTTCCAATTCCTTTGGTATGCTTGAAATGGATGCCTCTTTGTCTCAGCTCTGTAGCACTATGAATTTTGTAGCTGAAGGAAGAACTCTCAATGTCAAGGACGACAGTCTCATCATTTTTGTATTTGGTTGAGCTTGGAGAGTCACCTCCTGGTCCAATTACCAGCATTTGAAGGCCATGAAGAAGGTCTGTAGGTTGTTGCTGAAGCAAAAAAGATTTTTTTTCAAGTCTTAATTTTCGTTTAAGTGCTTGCAATAAAGTTGTACGTGTATGGTGGCATTGTTGGCTTTATTCCTCCAGCACAGGCAACTCCAATAAATCATACAAGACCCTCTTGAATAAGTCCCGTGGTTGTTCCCATTTCCCTTTCATTACCACTTGCTGGAAGAAGCTTCCATTCATCAGTTCTCTCAATACCACTAGGGGAATTTGGTTTCCAACGAAGAACAAAGACTTGATCCATCTTCGGATCTGCTGATCAGTGTTCCGCTGTTTGCCAAAAACGAGATGGTCAGGTGGATAACACAGTTGTTCAGAACCTCCAAGAGCAAATAATGCCAGTTGCAGGATAAAGCAACCATCCTTGATCATCATTTGTATAAATTGACTTCTAGTCACTTTACTTTCATCATCCACTATGCCATCAACATAGGCACCTCTAGCTTGTGTTTCTATATTTCTTAATGAAGTAGAGTATGTGGCTTTGGGATTTGAGTCATGTGCACATGTTAATATGTGTTGCCACGTCGCCTCCTTAAGCTTGGACATCAAGGACTCCTCGTCTGTAATGTAAAATGGGCCAAATCTTGGAAGTGAATCATAAAGCTCTCGGAGTTCATTGTCATCAATTTTTGGAGAAGCTGTGTCCAGCTTGCATATCTGGCGATCTGGCTTTGTGGTGGACTCAATCCATTCTAGAGCTTGAGTTCGTCTTAGCTCTTTACTTGGAGGTCTGCTTTCCTTGTCTGGGATAGGCATTGAGATGATGCTTTCAATTCTCTGACCTGAATGCAATTCCACCACCTAAAATGAGTTTGACATCCATTTACAAGTGAAAACCTTCATTTCTTTTTATTTTCCTTTTGATCATCAATTCTTTTTATTTAAAACTTACTTGTTTCAGCAAAAAATATTTTATGAAAAATATTTTCTGCATTTTCTAACAATTTATGAAAAGCATTTTCTGTTGGATTTCTGCCCCATGTGAGGAGCTCTGAAAATGGAAACCATGAAAGTCAAAGAAAGCTGAAAAAATGAAGAAAGAAATGCAACTGTAGATTTAGGCTGAAGATTCAGCCGAGCTGTCTGTTGTAGAGTGGCTGCCATTAATGTTGTCGGTAGGCAAGCTTGACTTTAGACTCTCCGATTTGTATATAAATATGGGATGAGTTTATTGGAGCGAGTGAGGAAACCAAGAGAAAAAAATGAGAGTGAAGCAGAGAGATTGGCCCTTTGTGTGAGCAAGAGTGCTCCCTCGGTGTGAGAAGGAGAGTCATATGGGACTTGAGTAAAGGGAGAGTGTTTTCCTCCTCATTCATTGTAATTTCTTTATAATCTCCATATATATATAGTGAAATTTGATTACTCTCCCGTGGATATAGACATTGGGCCGAACCACGTTAAATTATTTGTCTTTTTGTGTGTGTGGGTTCTTTGTGCATGAAAGTTTATTTTGAACATCCTAGACGGGATCCCAAGATTTGTTGGGATCTGAGGACTCCGCCTAGGATGTCCAGAATTAACTTTCATACACAAAATAATAAAAAAAATTTAACGTGGTTTGGCCTAATGCCTACATCTACAGGAAAGTAACCAAATTTCAGTATAGATGGAGAGAATACAAAGATATTACAAGGGAGGAGGAGGTAACACTCATGCTTACTCAACTCACACTTAGCTTCCCCTCTCACACTGATGGAACACTCTCTCTCACATACAGGGTCAATCTGTCTTCACTCTCTCATTTGGCTTGTCTTGATTTCCCCATGCTTGCTCTACTAACCTCATCCCAAAATGAGATAGCCTAAAGTCAAGCTTGCCTACCAACAAGCCACCGGCAACATTGATGGTAGCCATGCTATACAACCACCCTACAACAGATAGCTCAGTTGAATCTTCAGCCCAAATCTGCAGTTGCATTTCTTTTCTTCATTTTGTAGCTTTCTTTGACTTTCATGGCTTCTATTCACATGTGCACAACTCCTCATATAGAGCAAAACCCCAACATTTTCCACATTTTCTAATGTACAAATGACAAAAAATAAAAGTCGACCGAAAATATTTTCTATAATCAACAAAAAATAAACTTATTTAGGTCGAAAATATTTTCTACTTATGAAGATAAAAAATATTTTTCAAACTAAAATCTTACGAGCGCCACCATGCCACCACCAGCACCACTGCCTCACCACTCTATTACCACCATTGGAAGACCAAGAGGGCGATGACCCCCTTTAAGCTTCAAAATTTCCTTCTAGTGTCGTTAATTTTTGTTTTTAGTTCTTGTGTTATACATAATTGCCACCTCCTTGCACCTCAATTCTTGAATTCTCCATGTATGTCTTTCTTTTCATCAGCCAGACGCAATCCTTTTCAATAAAACTTTCTATTGTTTCCATTTCATATGTTACTCAATATTCAACTTCAGCAAAATAATATAAGTTAAATTACATTAACCTTTCTTCAAATATGGAGGAAATACAAGCTCCATAGTTTTAGGATGATTATATTGATTTTCCTTTTAGTACGGCTAAAGAGACCATAACTAATACAGATAGTATGAAAATACAAAGATAAACAAAACAAAATATACAATTTAAAACAAATGACAACATTATTTTTCCATCCATATGACTAAAAAATTATGAATGAAATGGGACTTATTGTTATATGAATTAAAATCTTAAGAGAGTCTAATATAATTATGCCAAAGTTATGGGTCTCTCTCTCTCTCTCTCTCTCTCTATATATATATTCAAATATCAAGGGATTAGTGTAATTTACACAATAATATATGAGCCAAAATATTGTTTTATTTTCTTCATTTTGTCTTTTGTGTTTAAAAAAGAAAAATTAAATACCCATCATTTTTATTTGTGTGAAAATAGTTTTCTGAGTTGGGGTTGAACTAGGCTTGGTAAGCTTATATCCATTATAAAAACATATAACAAGCTTAGTAAGCTTATATCCACTATATAAAAAGTACATAAAAAAACTACGTTATTGAATCTTGATTTAAAGCTCATTAATTAATCCATTTTAGATTGGTTAAGAGATAAACAAACAAATTTAAACATATTTTTTAAGCTCTTTGAACAATCTACAATTTGGCTTAACTTGATTTATTTACCGTCCCCACGTCAAATAAGATTCCCCTGCTACTCGTGTTTCCTGTTCCGCCACTGATTACCACCACAACAAAAATACCATCACTACCATACCTATTAGCACATTAGTTCAAGATTGCAATGAAACATAAGGAACATTTACTTTACAAAAAAATGTTTATTATAAAGAATATTTTCGGCCAAAACAAACAATGTAATCCAATAGGAAAATAAGATGGTAACGGTTTGTTTAACCTGACAGTGGACTTGAGGCATATTTTGAGTTTAGCTAAAGTTAAAAAGCACAGCCAATTCCATAGGGATTGCAAAATTATGCATCCATTATATTTGTTTCAATTCAACTGATTTTAATATATAAAAAAAAAATTTGGAAAAATATTGATAACTTATGATAAAATATAAGGATATGTTGGTAAAAATTGTCAATATTATAAAATATCAAATGATATCATTCAAATAATTAAATTTAAAATTAAGAATTCACACGCGAAACCTCAAAAAATCCGATCCTTCCAACCCTATTCAATGGGTATATTATATTGTTGTTATTATTATTACAGTAATTTAGTGCTATAAATTAATATATAAAAAAAAAAAAACCAATTATGGTGTCTGATTTTATTTTATTTTTTTCTTTTTTCGATTGTTTATGTATTTGACTATAAAGTCCTAACAACAGCTATCTAGACAAGATTTTTTGCTGCAGCGAAAAAAAATTAAAATAATTCAATTATGTAAAATTTGAGAGAGTTGAGAGAGAGAGAGAGAGAAAGAGAGAGAGTGATGAACACAATTGAGTTGATTGTGTGTGTGGTTGACATGGGTTTCGTGGACTAGTAGTGAAATAATCAAAGTTACCACAGAGAGAGAGAGAGAGAGAGAGAGAGAGATGGAATGAGAAAGTTACCTCCTTTCTAGCACCTGTGATGTGATCTGTGCTGGATGGAGGACGGGTCGCTGCTTCAAACTTGGAGTAAACACAACTCACAAGAGAAAGACAGACATACAGATAGAGATCCGAAAACACAACTCACACCTAACCCTCCTCCTCTTTCTCTCACCTACCCCTCCTCTTTCTCTCCTCTTTTATCTGTTAGACTTGGAGGTCTCCGAGTTGACTCGAATAGTTCCACTACAATTTGAACATTAGAACATTTCCCATCTTTCATTTTATTTTCATCAATTTAAATTTGATAAAAGAGTATTCAAAAATTATCTTTAATTATTTCACCTAATAAATGGAGTCATTTTTTTCATAAAATTGAGAAATTAAATTTGAATTTGGTAAAATTTTAAAAAGATGAAATATTATAGATAATTTTTTCCCATCAAATTTGATGGAAAGTGAAATTTGAGATGAAAAGATAAAATTTTAAAAATTTTTGATAAAAATTTAATGAAAAAATCGAAGTAATTCATATCAAATCAAACTTTCTACTTAAATTTGAAATCAAATTAAATGAAAATTTTGGTGATTGATTGGAGATGGTTTTACTTAACCGTAGTATTACAAATTCATAAATATTATTTACAATTCTACACTTCCTTTGGATTGATGGTTTAGGAAAGAAAGTGAAGGATTTGGTTAAATAAAATTAATTAAAATCATATTTGGATTTTTTTAAAGGAGAGGGAAGGGAATTGCATAGAGGGCTTATAAGGAGGAAATAATACAAACATTTTAAGCACTCCACTTTCCCTTCAAATTGGGAGAAAACAGAAGGAAAGCAAAGAGAAATGCTTCTCACGGTAATTGTGGTGGGTAAAATTGAACCACTTGGCTGTGGCGGTACTCTGGTGAGAATAAAACTACTTGAACCCTGAAAATACACTCATAAAAAGACAAAGGAGTGGGTGGAGAGAAGCCTGGGGACTCTCTGATGCGTAAGTTAGCAAAACAGTAAACAAATGAGTAAAATATGAGAGTATAGGTTCAGGAAGTGTATTGAATCGTGTGTACCTTAGCCTTTGTTACCTTCTTTATTTATATTCTGCTCTCACTAGCCGTTGTGGACGGTTAAGCCTCCTTCCACTCCTCATGTCAATCCTTTTTTTCTAGGGATCATGCACCAGACTGGCACGTTTATCTAGGAGTTAGTTGGGCCATTATTTTAGGAACACGCATTTGACAGAGTCTACCCTTATGGGCATGCATACTGTATGCCATGGTCCTAATCATTTGGAACCCTAATTCTTGGACTCAAAGATCTCTAGTCTTGCACCTCTAATACTATGGATCTAGATTTTTGGTCCTGTTTAATGGTTTAATTTGCCCTCTCACAATTGCCCCCATCTTCGAACTTTTTTAGGGTTTCTGACCATAGAAGAAGTTCGAGTGTTATTTATTTGGGAGCGAACCATCAAATTTCAATTCCTCTTCTATCGGGGATTTTGATTCTGCGCAATGATTTACTTAAACTGATGCTTCTGGGTTGCTGTCCTTTCGTCTAATGCACAACGTTTGACCCGGACGCGTGTTTTCAAGTTATTGGACCCAATCTAACGCATGCGTCAGATGAAACGATGCTCGTGTCAAATCGTATTGATTCGATAAATATAAATCTCCCCTCCTTATTTCCAAATCTCTCATTACTCATCACTATTTTATTTAGAAATATAGAGCGAGAGATAGAAAAGAAGTTGAAGGAATACCGTCTGTCGTTTTTTCGCTCATCAGGTGAACTAGCTTCTACACTCTCAGTGCCTATAAGTTCCTTCTTTCCCTTATATGTTCCTTAGCTTCCTTTTTCTTCTGAACCTATGGGCAAATATCGTCAACTCCTTCAATCCCTTGAAGCCCTTTCTACTTTTCACTCACGGTTTGGAATCCCTGAGAATGCCTATATCCGCTTGAGACTGTCTGCTGATGATCTTGAGGGAGGTCCTGACTATACTTGCCTCCCCCTTGTTGCCATTGTTAAGGGAGGAGTAAGTTTCCCTTTGAACCCTTTTCTGAGAGAATGTATGAGTTCTTGGTTCTTTGCCCCAATCTAACTTTCCTCCAACATATATCGCATTATCAATGGCGTTTTTTAGTTAAATAGGACTTAAGGCCTTTAACTATGACAGATGGAAATCCTGTTTGTTTGCGTCTATACTACCTACGATGCCAAGGCTGAGGTCAAAGACCTCAAATATTATCGAAGGCCTGGGAAGATATCCAAAAAGCTTGTCACCATCCTCTCTGAAACCAATAAAGACCTAGAGGATGATATTGTTGCCATTTTTGGAAATTAGGAATTTAATAATGATTCCTTGAAAGTCTGGCCAGTCCCAAGGAAATTTGGCGAGCATTTTTCCTCTGATTTGGACTTGTTTAGTTTGATCTTCCCCTTTTTTTTTTGTTTCCAATGTCAACACAGTCAAAAATTTGCGAGAGTATCAAGTACGTCTTAGCGACTTGAAGAAGATTTAGGCCTTTCCAAAAATTGAAAAATCTGCACCCAAGCTTATTGGGTATGTGTCTCCTAGACCCTACCTACTTGACGAGAGGGAGACCCTTGAAGAATCTTCTAATCAACAAGGTAGTTCAACTGGTGTTACTTCGAGTGAGAAGAAGTTCTAACTTGTCATTGATGTAACAATGGAAATACCTGGAGTTAAAGTGGAGGATCTAGTGGTTGTTCTTTTGGCTCGTCGTTCCAACCCTCATGTTATGGAGAAGAAGAAGAGGCTATGCAAGTCAACCGAGCTCCAATCTATAAATAAAGAAAAAAAGAGTAGAGCTTCTGTGGGGTTTACGTCTCCTAAATTCGTAAAATCCAAAAAACCTTCCACCATGAGTAAACTCTCTTCTTTAGAACCTCCTCCTCCCAAGTGTCAAAAAACTGAAGGATCCTCACAAACTACTTCTATAGATGTACATGGAGGCCCGCTTCAAGCCTCAGATGTTTTTGTGCAACCGTGCCACCTACGTGTCAACCAATGATAGCATTATGGAAACCCCAGAATTGGGTTTTCAAACTAACAAAGGGTTCCTTCTACCCAATAACATGGCTCCTTTCAAAAAGTTGGATGATGGAATGATGTATCGAGTTGGCATTTCTAGTGCCATTAGGGTAACTTCTGACCTTTCCCTTGTTTGTATTTTTCTCTTTATTTTTGGTTTCAGTTGTCTAGCTCGGTATTGTAGACATCATTTTGGCTGGCCCTAAGACTTAGGCGCTTTCTTTTGATTATCCGATGATGAAAACAAGAATGTGCTATCTCACAAAATCCTCAATAAGAAAGAGGGAATTTGAGTTTTCTTCCTAACCCTAAGCCTATTTTGGCCAAGTGTTTAAGTCCCGTTCAAAATTCTCTTTCGAAACTTCCACACTTTATTCTGAGTATGTCCATAATGTTTCGAGACTCATTTTTAAACTCCAAAGTGAAATGTTTTCTTAGTTTCTTCAGCAAAGAATAGTATGGAAATAGGAGCAAATTAGTTAGGCCAAGGCAAATTAGTCAGTTTCTTCAGCAAAGAACAGTATGCCCATAATGTTTTCTTAGTTTCGGTAGATAATAATTATATCGAAAAATCCTATTTTGTGCAAATTAGTCAGGCCAAGGCACATTTTTTTGGCCGGAGCCAATTAATTGGCCGGTCGACTAATTTGTCTAGGAATAGGGCAGTTTCGACAAAATTCTTGTTTAATGCGTATGGGACATGCCACCTTAGATATTTCTGATATATTTTTGATATACATTGTGTATCCACTTACCCTCAACTATCAAAAGAGTCTGCCTCTTCAAAAGAGGAGTAACTAAAGCAAGGGTCAAGTGCTTAATCGTTGTCATCCCATGATCCTTGTCTTCCACCTTGTCTCCCACCATCTTCTCTATTAAGTCTTCCACCATTGTCTATAAGGAATATCATATTGTTTAGAGAGAGGGGAGTTTGATATAAGGAAAAGTCTTTCTTGAATTGAGGGTGAATCATAGTTGAGTCATAAACCTTAATTTTCCATATACACTGTTATACCATCTTCTATATATCAAAACCATCCAAGAAATTCCATTATAGCCAAATTCTAATAGCTTTAATCAAAGGAAAAGTGTTTGTTGTTGAAAGTGAGAAAATTAGAGAGTTAAACAATTTCTCCCACACACACTGTTAAATGATTCAAATCACCATTCTAACAAGAATTCTAAATTTTTGAATGGAGGATTGAGAACATGTTTCATACACTTGAGGGTGACCAATAGGGAGTTTGAAAATCAAAAAAGTTCATCATTTCTTTAGAAGGTGAAGTTTCAATCTCTTTCATTTTCTTTCTTATATTAATCTTCTTGCTTTAATTTCATATTATAAACCTGTTGTAATCTAATTAGAAGTGGTTAGTTGAGCTACCTACATATCCTCCATTTGTTCTTTCTTGGTGTGGCAACAAAACAAAATTTTGCCAGGCCTAATTGCCCGGCCAGTCAATTTATTGGCTAGCAAGCTAATTAATTGGCTGGCTGGCTAAGTTTTTGGCTAGCTAGCCAACTTTTTCTGAACAGAATAAAGCAGTCTTCCGATGACGAGCAAAACAGTTTTCGATGGTCTCTAAGGCACATGAAGTTTATGTTTTTCTTTTAATTTGAAAGATTTATGTGGTTTTATTTTGTTGTAATATTTTTTTCATATCTTTTCTTATTCAGATATGTAATTGTTTAAGTATTGTAATAATTTTTTGCCCCGCTTCTTTCTATCCTATTCTTTTTTTTGCTTTCTTTATTGGTACATAAATATCCTAATTGGCAGGTGACCTCGGGTTGACCCCTGGCATCTCGTAAGGTGTCCAGGCGAACACATCTATGTTTTTCCTCAAAAAATTCTACGTTTTTCTTTCTTCTTCCTCAGTTAAGCCGAAGCCGAAGAGAAAGAATTGCTCTTCATCGCCTTCTTGTACTAGAACCTTTTTCAAGGGTTCTTCCCTCTTGTCGGTAGATTCTTTGCCGACATCCTCCAAGACCTCTCGGTCTTTGCTTTCAATCTTTGTTATCTCTGCTTCCCTCACATTGTAGGTATACTTCATTGCTGCCATGAAGTAATTTTTCACCTGCACTTGGTCTCCCCTCACTTATTCAATCCCTTGGTCAGTTAGGAACCGCAATAATTGGTGTAGTGTTGAGGGAACAACCCTCATTGCATGCAACCAAGGTTTTCCCAG